CATCAATCTCCTGGGTGAAAGATGATCAAATCGTTAGTGAGGACACCACACCCGTTTAAAAAAAAGTTGCTACACTATCAAGTTCAGCCTCACAAACAGATGCAATACCATCATCTCCAACTTCTGACAATACATCAGAATCAAGTCTTCTTCAGGGCGATGCCCAACTTACCAAAAAAGAAAAAAAGAAACTCAAAAGGGCAAGGGCCCTCCAACATTTGGAGGTGCCTTCTCTGTCCACCCCTGTGGAGGTTCACAATCCATTCGAACTTCTAGAGATGGAAGTCACTCCCTCTGTGCCAGTCCATGGGAGTGGACTCCCTTCCCGTTCAAGATCACCAGTTGAGCCACCGTGAGCTATTCTATAAGTATTGTCCAATGGAATTGCAGAGGGCTACAGAATTTTTTTAATGATTTACAATTATTACTTCAGGATTATAAACCATCGGCATTATGCATACAAGAAACTTACTTAAAAAATACTGATCAAATTGACATCAGACAATACGATTCCTATCATTTCTTTTCCCCTCCCGGTGCGAAGGCAACTGGAGGCTCTTCTGTCTTGGTGAGACAGGGTGTTCTTCATAGCCCTGTCCATCTTAAAAGCCCACTCCAAGCTGTTGCTGTCCGAGTTACAATGCACGTTGTTCTCACTTTGTGTTCTGTGTATATTCATCCATCGTCTTCTCCTCGACAGGCTGACCTTCAGGATTTATATGACAAGCTCCCCAAGCCCTGTGTCGTTATGGGCGATTTGAAAGGGCACAATCCTCTTTGGGGCAGTACACATGCAAACAGCAAAGGAAAAACCATAGAAGATTGTATTTCTAATAACGATTTATGCATATATAATGATGGTTTGAACACATATTTACATCCAGGTACAGGTACTTACTCTTCTATAAATTTATCGATTTCAGAATCGGCTTTACTGAATGAGTTCGAATGGTCGGTCCACAATGACCTCTGTGGAAGTGACCATTTTCCAACTATACTCAACAACAAAAGTTCATGTGACACCAGTATTTTAGTGTATTTTTCAAACAAGTAAAGGTTGTTTTTCAATATTGTAGTACATGTATGGAATCAAGTCACAAAAGCGCAACTGCTACAGAAAAGCATGCATTCCATGCAAAAGTTGACTTTTATGCAAGCACCTTGCATTTCACTACCCAAGAATGGGTATAAAAACATGTGCGTTAACGGGATTCCATATGCATTGTTTAGCATCGGGCTGACAACAACCACTCACAAAAACAACAAGTTACGCAATTATTCAACATTACGAAATGCCACGAGTGTCCGAAAATGAGCGTCATCGAGCCATTGGTATGCTTGAAGCAGGATCGAGTCAACGTGATGTTGCAAGATAATTTAACGTCCACAGAAACACCATTTGGTGTTTATGGCAACGTTGGCAACATACGAAAGCAGTCAGAAACCATCCTCGGAGTGGCAGGCCACGAGTTACCAATAACCACCAACTGGATTCGAACAACACACCTACGAAATCGATTCCAGCTAACAACAGTGACTGCAAGAAGCATCCCTGGCCTTCGAAGAATATCTTCTCAAACCGTACGCCGCCGCCTCAGATGTTCAGGGATTTTTCGCCAGAAGACACGCCAGACGTCCCATTTGGACAGGAAACCACCGTCAAGCACGTCTACAGTGATGCAGACAGCGTCTACGCTGGACGGCCATGCAGTGGGGACAAGTTCTATTCACTGACGAGTCTCGTTTTCACCTCAGCCACAGCGATGGACGGATTCGAGTGTACCGACGTCGAGGTGAACGTTACGTCAATCATTGTGTCATGGAAGAAGATCGGTCCGGGGGCGGCAGCGTTATGGTATGGGGTGGGATTACAGTAAGACAGAGGACCTGTTTGATAGTGGTAGAGGGAAAATCTCAATGGACAGCGCTACCGCGACGAGACCATCGGCACTGTTGTTCTACCGTTTTTGCGTCGTCATGGCCCAGGCATTACCTTTCAACATGACAACGCCCAGCCTCATATTGCTCGACTTGTTCAGGATTCTCTTCAACAAAATATGGCGAATGTCATCCCCTGGTCGGCTCGCTCCCCTGATCTCTCACCAATCGAGCACGTGTGGAATGAGATGGATCGGCGCCTTCGACGTCAACCACGTGTTCCACAGACACTCCAGGAACTTCGAAACATGCTCCAGCAGATATGGACAGATATCCCACAGGACTTTGTTCGACGCCTGGTCCATTCCATGAGACGAAGATGTGTTGCTTGCATCGCAACCAGAGGAGGACACACACGCTATTGATTTGTAAATTGACATTTTGGCATGTTCGTGGGTTTTTTTGTATGAAATCATGCATTTTCTAAAGTCAGTACGGCAAATTAAACCATTTGAACACTTACATGAGTCTTTTATCTGTTGCAAACCGAAATTGTTTAAGATTTGGTGAAAAACATAACTTTGCATTAAATCTTATTCAATGTCACAGGCACTTTTGTTGTTCAGTATATATTAAAACCTTTTACTCCATCTAATGTACCTCCTGCATCAAGATGGAACTTTACTAAAGCTAACTGGCCTTTGTTTCAAATACTGTCTTCAAACAAATTAAAACCTCATCTATTTCTCGATGTTCCTGATGTTCAATTATTCTCTGATGAACTTCGGGCTTTCCTCCCACATGAAGCTGACACGCCGCGATATAACTGGAATACTGTTAAAAGCGGCGTTAAACACAACTCACTCACTCACTCACTGATGAACTTATCAAAATAGCCGATGAATGCATTCCGAAGTCCTCTGCGAATCCTCACATACGAAAACCATGGTTTAATACTGACTGCAAACTAGCTAGGAAGGCAAGGAAAAAGACAGAGCATTTTTTCCGTCGCCATCCTATGGTACATAATTTGTACAAATTTAAAGTTTTTAATGCTAAAGCATGGCGCACTTTCAAACAAAATAAACGCCAATCTTGGCAGAATTATGTTTCAAAAATAAATTCCCGAACGCCAATGTCCAAAGTATGGAACATGATCCAAAAGATCAAGGGTAAGGGTTCAAAATCCAGCATCCACCATCTTAAGAATGGGGATGAATTACTAACTGATAGCTCAGATATTGCTAATAAACTGGGGGAAACTTTTGCGAAACATTCTTCCTCGAATAACTATGTACTTCAATTTCAAAGGTACCAAAAGCAGCAATAAAAGAAAAACATAAACTTTCAATCAGAAAATGGGGAAGACTACAATGAAATGTTTTCTATTCATGAGCTCCACACTGCAAGCTCATGATACCGCAACAGGAGCTGATAACATACATTATCAACTGATATCAATTGATGGATCACTTTTGGTGAATGATTTCAACGTATCTTGTCGTGGTAAATAATGCATACTATTGAAAGACAATTACAATTATGTCTTAATAAAATACATAAATGGTCTTTAGAAAACGGTTTTAAATTTTCAAAATCTAAAACAAATTGTATTCACTTTTGTAGAAAATACAAACCTCATAGAGACCCAGAATTAGTTTTGGACGTCGACCCTATAAAGGTTGTCAAGGAGGCAAAGATTTTGGGTTTAATTTTTGACAGCCCTTTGACTTTTTTACCTCACATCAAACGTTTAAAAAAATAGATGCCTGAAGGCCCTGGATTTGCTGAGGGTCGTTTAAAAAAATAGATGCCTGAAGGCCCTGGATTTGCTGAGGGTCGTATCGAATTCAAAGTGGGGAGGGTATCAGAAAACGCTCCTCCAACTGAACAGATCACTCATTCGCTCTAAACTAGATTATGGCTCCATCATCTATGGTGGGGCCTGTAGAAGTAATTTAACATTATTTGATAGTATCCACCATCAAGGTCTGAGGCTTTGCCTTGGTGCCTTCAGAACTTCTCCTATCAATAGTTTATATGTTGAGGCTGATGAGCCGTCAGTCAAACATCGTCGCTTAAAACTATCCTTACAATACATTGCTAAACCTTTTCAGCGTATCACTATGTTTTTAATCCTCTGTATCAGAATCTCTTTCATAAGAAACAATCCCTTACTCCACCCCTTGACATAAGAATAAAACCTGAAATTTCTGCTGCACATACTGAACTCACTGACTCTCCCACCCAATTACTGTCATCACCCCCGTGGCAACTACAGGTAGATCTTGAAGTAACAAAACTAAAGAAATCAGAAACAAATCAACTAATGTATCAGCAAGAGTATAATCAGATACGAAATACCTACAATACTTACAGATCTATATTTACAGATGGTTCCAAAGATGGTGCCAGCGCCACTGTCATTGGTTCGAAAACATTATCGTCAAGACTACCAGGTGCGCTAGAATACATAAATCAACAATCTAAATATAAACCAATTATTGTCTTTTCTGACTCTCATGTCTCCAGGCAATTCAAAATAATGCATGTCACCATCCACTTTTATTAGAAATTGTTGAATTATATAATGATCTTGCTACTGGCCATTACGACATTGTATTTTGTTGGTTGCAGCCATGTTGGAATAATTGGTAACACAATACTACATACTACATACTACATACTACATGTACCTGTGCGTTTCTTTTTTTTTAAGAGTGTATGTGTTTAACTTAACAGATCAAAGGTTCTGCTTATGTGACGTGAATTTTAATTCACTATCAGCAGTTTCAACAAGATCCACATGATTAGCCATCCATATATTTTGATGGGGTGCACCAGCCTGGCATTCACTGTTGACGCAAAGATATTTGAGCATAGGCCTATAGTTTTACGAAAAACAATTCTTTAGCACATATGTCGCGCACCGGAGCAATTAATATACATACGGCGGAATGTGTATGACACATACATCAACACTTGTCGTCAACACTCTGTTGAGACTCTGTGATAATTACATTATATATGAATAGGCAACACATGTGACTGAATTTTAATTGTTTAAAGTTCACGTCTATTGTATGAAACTATAAATACTGGTGCGATGAAATATTCCGCAATGCATTCCCACTTTTTAATCATTTCCGTGCACACATGGCAGCTATCAGGAACACGGCGAAAGCGCTCTTGGGTATTTGTTAGTTTTTTGTGCTCATCGCGCTGGCAGTTGAACATACTGCAGGAATCTGTGAGGTAAGTATGTTTCGAATGTAAGTCGTCGTGTATTATTATCAAGTTGTTAATATATTCGAAGTTGCATCATTATGATATTGTTCATCCAATGCGGTAATGGTAATATGAAAGTTTGACTCGGTTCTTTCACGAAAACCGATCGTGCATGTAAACATTGTCAATTGAATGGCGTTTTTGTAACACTTTTACCCCGTTCGTCGTCGCGTTTAGTGTATTTGAACCCCGATTCCAGTACAGCAAGTAGAAGTTTAGTATTGGAAACACCTTTAATACCGCCTGGATCGTTTTACAATTGAGGAATTTTACGTTTGTGTAGACAATATATATACTGCCCTTCTAGTGATCCTAAATCAGTTGTATACATTGCCTTTGATTGCACAAACCTCAGCTTTGAAAACCATGTTGTCACCGACTGGATTGTTTGTATGTCAGTATTCATTTGAATTGTAGGTCATTACTACATCATTTCTGTATGTAATCATTGCCATGGTGTTAAACATCTCATACAAATATCTTTCATGTAGAGAGTCATGTTGTATGATACCTATGTGATGCTGTCCATTGCTACTGTGCATATTGTGCAATGTTCCATGGACCTGAGGCTGCTGCATATATTAGTCTTTTGTCATTTTAGTTCTCTTTAGACTTAGTTGTTGGTTGGTTTGTTGTTTAACGCCGCCTTTAGACTTAGAAAATATCGGAGTTGTTATCATCTGGTATGCACCGGTGCTGTATAGTGTTATCTTGCCTTTATCGCGGGTCACAATAACCTGTAGGGGTCATACAGGCTTGAAAAGGCCTTGAATTTTAATTCCCTCTTGAAAAGCCTTGATATTTAGTGTCAACCTTGAAAAGCCTTGAAAATCACCAACATAGCTTGAAAAGCCTTGAATTTATACAAAATGGCATATGTACTTGTTAGTAAAAGTATTAAAGCACACAAAAATATGAACTAGATTTAATAAACAATTGACAGACTAAAACTAATAACCGAACTTAAGAAAGTGTTGAAAATGACAGTTGACAGCCTTGAAGAGGCCTTGCAGTTTTGTGTTCCATGTCTTTATGAACTATGAATTATCATTCCACAGTTAGAGCTATTGTTGTTATATTTGTTGATATTTCAGCAAGGTAATAATGAAGTTGCTCTCATCTGGCAATAATCTGACAAAATCTTTGTTTCTGTTTGTTTATGTTTCCATGACTACCGGTAGTTTTGTTCCCGCCAATAAGTGTCAAACCTTGGAAAGTCCGTCCTGTCTGTTTTGCAGTATATGTGTGCTATGTCCTACTTCCTGTCTTACCATTTTGGTCACAATACATTTCTAGCCTGATCCTGAGTCAGACAGCCAGGGGACACATCTTTTCTAGGGTTGTTTGTTATTTAACTCCTCACTCAGCAATATTCCAGCTATATGATGATTGTCTAGTCCAGACTCACACATTTAGACAATCTAGTGATTGACATCATGAGCTTTGAACTTCGCAATTGGGATACAATGTTATGCATCAAGTCAGCGACCCTCACCACCCGGCAAGTATTGTTGCCTCTTACGACATGCATAGTCACACCTTCTCACACACCCACTCATCCACTCACTCTCACACCTACTCTCACGCCTACTCACACACCCGCTCACTCTCACACCAACACACCCACTCACACATCCACTCACACACCTACTCTCACGCCTACTCACACACCCACTCACACACCAACTCACACACCCACTCATCCACTCACTGATCCGTGAAGTTTCCCGGGTAGAATAGGTCTTCAGTGACCCATCCTTGCCGTAAAAGGTGACTATGCTTGTCGTAAAAGGCGACTAACGGGTTCGGGTGGTCAGGCTCGCTGTCTTGGATTATGGGTGTCTAGCCGGGAGCGCCACATTTCAGAAATGGCTATTGCCGGTAGGGCCACATTTCCAGCTGAGTGCATTTCACCTATTCTAGTGGGTAATTAATTAATCCGATTACCGATACCTTTAAATGAGTGTCCCACATTTAAATTACTAAGCGTGGTGTTCTTTAGAGATACCTTTAAATGAGTGTCCCACATTTAAATTACTAAGCGTGGTGTTCTTTAGAGATACCTTTAAATGAGTATCTCACATTTAAATTACGAAGCGTGGTGTTCTTTAGAGATACCTTTAAATGAGTATCTCACATTTAAATTACGAAGCGTGGTGTTCTTTAGAGATACCTTTAAATGAGTATCTCACATTTAAATTACGAAGCGTGGTGTTCTTTAGAGATACCTTTAAATGAGTATCTCACATTTAAATTACTAAGCGTGGTGTTCTTTAGAGATCAAAGGCCGTCTTAATTGACATTGAGTTCATCCTGTTGTTCATAACATATTGAACATTGAACATTTGTGTACTGCAGACATTGTATTTTGTGATGGTACATTTTATGCCTGTCCCAAGTTGTTTGATCAGATTTATTGTTTACATGCTGAGGTGTTTGGCCATATGTTTCCATTAGTTTACTGTTTGTTGTCCAATCGAAAAAAAGTGTGTTATGTCAACATGTTTCAGTACCTATGCGATTTTGCTAGTAGAGGAGGTCTAGAGTTTGCCCCACTTACAATTCAGTTGGACTTTGAACGTGCAGCTCCCAATGGCGTGACTGATGTATTTCCTGGGACATTAGTTAGAGGGTGTTTCTATCACTTCACTTCAATGTATCTGGAGGAGGGTGCAGAAAGAAGGTCTGGTGATGGACTATAAGGAAGATGAGGAGGTGAAGAAGCTGGTGAGAAGAGCTGCTGCCCTCCCTCTTGTACCTCGTGACAAAGTGGATGATGTGTGGCTTGATGCCATTGCTGACTCTCCTGCTGGCCCTAAAGTGACTGCTTTCATGGACTACGTGACAACCAGTTGGGTTCAAGGACAGGCCTTCATGCCAGAGATTTGGAATCACTTCGAAAACCAAGGCCACCGTACCAACAATCACCTGGAAGGGTGGCACAACAAGATAAAGAAACTTGCCAAGAAGTGCCACCCGAACATCTACGAGGTAGTGAAGCTATTTCAGCGAGAGCAGTCACTCAAAGAGGTTGCAGTCCTGAGACTCTCTCACCAGTGGTCAGAACCTTCGCGAAGAAAGAAGTACAAGGCAATCGATGCACGTATTGCGTCCCTCAAGATTCAGCTCCTGAACCAACACCTGAGTGAGATGGAATATGCTTACCACGTGGGCGACCTCCTTCATCTGCAGTTATGATCCATTATGATATTCATATGCTATTCAATATATATCCTTGTTGAATAAGAAATGAGAAAACAAGACTTGTTTTGTTATATACGGTAACCTGTTAGAATCACAAAGCATGTTTTGACAGCATAGCCGTGAGAGCCACATTATACAATCACACAACCATAACCATTGCCGGGAGCGCCACATCAATTTGGGCTATCTTTTTTCGAAATGTGGCGTTGCCGGCCTGTAACCGGATTATGCATGTCATAAATCCCAATTGCATGGATCAATGTTCATGATGTCAATCACTTGAATTCTACACCAAATATCCATGAGCCAATTAAAAATCAGCCATAAAACCTAAATTATTAAGAATTAAGTTACTATGTATGGTAGGAATTAGGAAGATGCATTTGCAAGCAAATTCCTATTTATGAATTGTCAAATAAGTGAATTTGCCTTACCATAAATACTTTAGACCTCACAAGGGGGGGTCTTGTTGCCTAGTGGTTAAAGCGTTCACTCGTCACGCTGAAGACCCAGGTTTGATTCCCGACATGGGTACAACGTGTGAAGCCCATTTCTGGTGTCCCCCGCCGTGATATTGCTTGAATATTGCTAAAAGCATCGTTAAACCATACTCACTCACTCACTCACTCACTCACTCACTCACGTTAAACCTCACAAACATTCCTCACAAGACATAGTGATTTGACCATACCAATCAGTAGTTATCTCCCTTCTTATTAAGGTTGACATAAAATTAGCACTAGATAAATAATATAACAATAAAAACCATGAAATAGAAATAAACATTTAACCATTACAATCATTCAATACCGTGTGATACTGTTGTATCATGCAATAGACAAGTGATGGACAAGTTATAAACCAGATTTTGTCATTAATGAAATGGGGGGGGGGGGACATGGGTGGCTAAGGAGCCGCGATTTGCTGTGCAGAGTTGCATCTCTGCAGAAACCTATGATTGTGGGTTCGAATCCCGGTTCGCCACGATTATGTTTCTAGGTTTGTCAGCACCTACCCGTGCTCGGGGTTTCACTGAAGTGGTAAACGTCTGAGACTTGCATCACTTCGGGCTTTCCTCCCACATTAAGCTGACACGCCGCTGACCATTACATTCTGGTCTCCTAATTGTAGAATGAGAGTATAACAATTATAAAATATAGTAGAAAAGTGGTCAAAGTTTATCTTGATTTTTAAACATTTCATAATGAAAAGACGTGAAAACAAAAACCTTATAAGGATAATCAACTTCACTCAAATAACCCAATAAACCTTTGAGGTAACATATTCATACTCTTTCAGAAGTGTTCATTTTGATCACTGCACAATGATGCACCATTTGTTTATAGGATGTTCAAGCTCTGTAAAATCTGTCCTCACACGCACGATGCATACAGGTCCCTTTCTGTCTGTCATGACCTCCATGACATGCCAAAGTTTTCATGAATTACGACAACTGTCAGACAGAAGAACAACTTGAAGATTGGGCTTTCCTTGTAACCCATTTTTCTCTCATGCTGCAGTGTTAGGTATTCCTTTACGTATCGCTTCCAAAATGTATCAGCTAAATACTGAACTTGCTTCCATCCTTGGCCAGAGTTGACATCATCTTTACAAAATGTTCCTGGTGGCATCTTTTGACCCGGGATAGAGGTAAAAGATTATTTGGCGTGAGGGGTTTTAGATCAAGAGGATGATATGGCATTCGTGACCAACTCATGTTATTCCGGGACAAGCCAAATAGCGACTCGTGCCCCTCTCATGGCCATTTTTTCGACGAGGTTCCGTCTTAGCGCAAACGGGCATACCTAAAACAATTGTCAACTCGTTGCATAATGGTTCACATATATTTCCCCATATTATATATATTTCTGATGCAATTTGAAGGACTTCAGGACGTGCAGAATTATACAGTATGATTGAACACATTTAACTGTGTCTTAGGTATATTTTTAGATGCAAGACATATGTAAAATCAAAAATTATTTCTGAGGGATTATTTGACAAAGAACGCGAAATCATAGACACACATTCTGATTGGTTTGTCGTATTTTCGCACATAACATTCATCAAGAGGGGGACGAGTCTTCTTGCAGGTTACGGAAAGGGGCGAGTGGTGACGAATGGATGATATGGTACATCAGTGATAAGTCTTCCGTTGAGAATAATTTTAACCTCACAAAAGAGAGTTCTCAGACCTTTGTAACTGATAGGAAATGGAAATAAACATTTTGACCATTATATCTGTTCAACTAATTTCAGTGAGATTTGGTTTGTCTGCCCCAGATTACCGGTACTTACAGTTACAGTCATATGTGACATGGCTGGAATATTGCTGACTGGAGCAGATCCAACAAACACACAGAGAGTTGGAGTTGTCTAAACCACATCAACCCTCATCATACATCCTTTGTTTCAGAGGCAAGATGACTCCATTATGGCTTGTGCTGATATTTGTGGAAGTGGCTCTCTCCGCTGACCGACTTTCCTATCTCTCCACCGTCCATGACTACCTCAACATCTGCCTCGATGGCAGACACCACAAGACGACTCCGGGACCAGAGAGTGCCATGTTCCAACAGGTCAGCACGTGTTATACAGAAGTATCTGGGTGTATATATTGACAGTTATGTCTTCAAGTTGTATTTATTACGATTGTACTGTTGTTATTATTGTTGTTGACCTTATTCTTTCCAGAGGTTCAGGATGAAAATGTAATATTTGTGTTTTTGATACTGTATGTTTCTGTATTGTGATTTTTTTGCCAAGGTTCATTACTGTATACAGAAAGATGCTTGGGGTATATTTCTTACAGTTCTACATGTCTTATGTGTATAATTGTATAACACACTAGTTGAGGTATAATTGTATAACACACATAGTGGGGGTATAATTGTATAACACACTAGTTGAGGTATAATTGTATAACACACTAGTTGAGGTATAATTGTATAACACACTAGTTGAGGTATAATTGTATAACACTAGTTGAGGTATAATTGTATAACACATAGTGGGGGTATAATTGTATAACACACTAGTTGAGGTATAATTGTATAACACACATAGTGGTGGTATAATTGTATAACACACTAATTGAGGTATAATTGTATAACACACTAGTTGAGGTATAATTATGTCCCATGTATGACGTCTATGTAACAACGACAAATACTTGTTGGGGGTCCATGGGATTTATTCTGTCTGTTCATATCAGGGATATGGAGATCCCACCACAATATGGCTTAAGATGATAATTCCCTAAAACATAATATAATACGGTTGAATTAGTAATATACAACTACAAGAATCTATAATTAAACAAACATATTACATTTAGGAGATAAACATACTGCGTTTTCAATGTAGAGCTAGGTTACCTGTAGATTTAACCTCGTTAAATTGAATTTGGAACCGAACGCGCAGTGTGAGGTTTTAGATGTTCAATTTAGCGAGGTTAAACGTGAACTCTTTGGTGTTATCAAATATACTGAGTGAAGCGGCATGGGTTGAGTCCAGTGTTTTGAGTGGGTTATCGATCTGAATTACAGAATCACCGAACAAAATATGGTGCTGTATATACTCAAGCAGTTTGCCTAATTGTGAGAGAGGTACTAAGCTTGTGAAATCAACTCCTCCTCCAGCTTTTAGAGAATATCCCCGACACTCTACTAACAAGATGTCGACATGTTGATGATACGCATATCGCAGTCCCATTTCATTTCGACAAATTTTGACAGAGTTACTGCCCCTGTTTTACGGAGCTTCATGAAATCTACTCCTCCTCCAGTTTCCAGAAAATATCACACTATCTAACTATAACTATAACTATAGTTAGTTTTCTTGTATAAGGCTTTTGTTGGTGAGCTACATCCTTATGGCATTAGCATTCAGACTGGATAACTAATGTCCTGCACAATTTGTTTCAAACGCAGTGCCATCTACTGTTGTTGTTTCATAAAATACAAAGAAAATATAAACACGTTAAAAAAATTCATGCGGGGGATGTTGTTCTCTCAGAGCACTCTTGTTTAAATAGGACTACCTCACTTTTGAAATGAATTTGAAATCCATAAACCATATACTTGTTGTATAACACACTAAATGAGGTATAATTGTTGTATAACACTCTAGTTAAAGTATAATTGTTGTATAATGCACTGAATAAGGTATAATTGTTGCATAACACACTAGTTAGGGTATAATTCTTGTTAGCACTAAATAAGGTATAATTGTTGCATAACAGTAAGCATGCTAAGTAAGGTGTAATTGTTGTATTGTGCACTAAATAAGGTATAATTGTTGTGTAACACTAGTTAAGGTATGATTGTTGTATGGTTCACTAAATAAGGTATAATTGTTGCATAACACACTAAATGAGGTATAATTGTTGCATAATACACTAGTTAGGGTATTATTGTTGTATAATGCACTAAATAAGGTATAATTGTTATATAATGCACTAGTTAAGGTATAATTGTTGTATAATGCACTAGTTAAGGTATAACTGTTGTATAATGCACTAGTTAAGGTATAATTGTTGTTTAACACACTAGTTAAGGTATAATCGTTATATAGTGCACTCCCTGGAAGAAGAGATCCTGTTGTACGAGTAAGGTGAGCCAAGACCTGCACATCTCTCAGAAATGGCTCAACTTTGATTGGAACCACTGTGGCTGGCTGTCACCACAGTGCCGGCGCCATTTCCTGCAGGATCTGTGTTTCTACGAGTGCTCACCCAATGTAGGACCTTGGCTAGTGACGGTATGGCACACCAGATATTTCATTTTGTTTTGTTAATCTTACCTCTACAGTCTTTTTTTAAAAACATGCAAATATTTTGTTGTGTTTGTTTAAAGTGTTCATTTGGCGGAATAGAATAAACAGATTCGTTCAAATTTTTACAGATCTGTAAAATATTTTTTAGAAATGAATCGCCTGAATAAATATTAAATGCTTTCCATGCAAATTGTCTTTGCTGCACAGTAAAATAAGTCTGGAGACAAACTATGTTTGCCATTGTTTCTGCCAATGTGCAGTGAACCTGACATGTCAATAAACTCCCATATGTCCGGATAAAAATGTGTCACTTATGATTGAGAGCAAGGGGCACTAGCTTTTGGCACATTAATTCCATCCTCGCGTTTATTTCATAATTTACAGTAATTTACAGCTGAGTAATGTAACATTGGAGAACTCATGACCTTTGTTCTCTCTCTCACCCTGGTTCCGTGTTTGTAGGATGACAAGAAGATTCGCAATGAGAGGTTCGAGAATGTGCCGATGTGCCGGAGTGAGTGTGATGCATGGTGGGAAGACTGCAAGAACGAAAACACTTGCCTCGACAACTGGAGCAGTGGCTTCAACTGGACTACAGGTAATTCATTTCTTGTCTAACGCTAATCTCAGGAATATTCCAGCTATATGATGGCGAAAATGTCTGTAAATAATTGAGTCTTAACCAGACAATCCAGTGATTGAGATTACTACAAGCATGGGTTGCTGAAGACCAATTCTAACCCAGATCCTCACGGGGTACTACAGGTAATATTAATGTCATGATGATGATATTGATGGTGCTAATTTCCCTGAAAGCACATGCATATGATGCGTGCATTTACTGCCCAGTTCTCGGTATGGTTATTTGGGATTGTGTATACAGTCCATGTTGCCTAGTTAGGGCTAGCACCAGGATGTCCATCTCATCCTACCTGGTACCCATTCTCTGCTGGTTGAACAGGCGAGAGTTGGACAGTCCTTTGCCGAGGGAGACACCATGTTTCCTAACCATGACATAGCATGGAGCAGCACACGAGTCCTAGTAACTCTCTGGAGTCGAGGTCGCCCACCGCTGATCATATCTTGAGAGTAACTGCAAAGATCAATACTTTAACTAAAACCATAAAAGGAATCAGGTCTTTGAAAGGCAATTAGAAGTGATACACATAAGGCAGAGAGTATATGGATGTCAACTTCTTTATTATGAGGAACACTACGTTTTGGAGTATATGCTTACTCCTTCATCAGGTGAATGAATGATGATGCTCGTGTATGATGGAGTAAGCATATACTCCGAAACGTTGTGTTCCTCATAATTAAGAAGTTGTCAGCTATATATTCTCTGCCTCATACAAGGAATGACTCCATATGTAATTTATGTAATCGGGGTAGGATGCTATGTGTTGATAAAGTCATATCAATATTGACACTTTATAGTGAGTGAGTGAGTGAGTAAGGTTTTACGCTGCTTTTAGCAATATTCCAGCAATATCACAGTGGGGGACACCAGAAATTGGCTTCACACATTGTACCCATGTCGGGAATCGAACCCGGTCTACGGCGTGACGAGCGAAGGCTTTAACCACTAGGCTACCTGACCGCCCCTCGACACCTTATAAATTCATCGTATCAATATTGACACGATATGTCTGTCATATCAGTATTGTGCCGTAAAAGGCGACTAACGGGATTGGGTGGTTAGGCTCACTGACTTGGTTGATGTATGTCATCGTATCCCAATTGTGTGGATCGATGCTCATGATGTCAATCACTGGATTGTCATATAGCTGGAATATTGCTGAGTGTGGCGTTAAACAGCAAACAAACATATCAGTATTGACACCATATGTGGGACCAGTGAAAATCCAGAGTAGAATAGCTCTACAGTAACCAATGCTTGCCGTAAAAAGCGACTATGATTGTCGTAAGAGGTGACTAACGGGATTGGGTGGTCAGGCTCGCTGACTTGGTTGATGCATGTCATCATTATGATCGATGATCATGGTCGATGCTCATGATGTCAATCACTGGATTGTCTGGTCCCGACTTTATTTACAGACGTCCATCATATAACTGGAATATTTCTGTGTGCGACTTTAAACAACAAACAAACAACCATATCTATACGTCATATCAATATTGATGCCATATGTGTGTGTATCAACAAAGCCACAATTTCTTTTATCTGATTTGTACGGGGGCACGGGTGGCCCAGTCGTCTAAGGCGCCGCAATTCGCTGTGCAGAGTTGCATCCCTTAGGCACGCCAGAAACCTATGATTGTGGGTTCGAATTCCGGTTCGATCCGATTATGTTTCTAGGTTTGTCAGCACGCTACCCGTGCTTGTGGTTTCCTCCCACATTAAGCTGACACTCCGTGATATAACTGGAATACTGTTAAAAGCGGCATTAAACCCAACTCACTCACTCACTCTGACTTGTACTTGTATCTGGACGGAGTAACTAGTAACGCAATGATGAAACCTTTGTCGTCATGCAGGGATCAACTCGTGTCCAAAAGGAAAGCCATGCCGACCGTTTCGTGAGATCTACAGCGACTCGACCGCGTTCTGCGAGCGGGTGTGGGGGGGGTCATGGAAGGTGGTGGAGGAGGGACAGCCGTGTATGTACCTGTGGTTCAGCGAGGAGGGGGACAACCCCAACGATGACGTAGCCAGGAAACAGGCCGAAAAGTTGCTGGGCATCAACGGAGCATCAGGAAAAGACACGGTTACATTACTCACACTGTTGTGGTGTGTGTGTTTGGGGTTATTTTTATAAGTTTGGGGCAGTTTATACTTTTCTATAAGAATGTTTAAAATACAGATAATGTTTGGCAGCAAATATGCACTATACTACTCAATGTTTGATAGGGGCACTGAGATATTTAATATAATGTGTTTAAACATATAAGTATCCAGGGGACATGGGTGGCCCAGGTGTCGTTGGTAATGCAATTCGTTGTGCAGAGTTGCATCCCTTATGTGTGGCAGGATCCAATTATTGTTGATTCTTATTCCAGATTTGCACTGATTATTATTATTGGGTTGTCAGCACTATACCCATTAGTGGCTTTTGCCCTATGGTAACAGTTAGGTGAGTGAGTGAGTATGGTTTCACACCATTTTTAGCAGTATTCCAGCAATATCACGGTGGGGGACACCAGAAAAGGGATTCACACTTTGTACCCATTGGGGGAATTGTACTTTTTGCCTTTGGGGGCACGGGTGGCCCAGTCATCTAAGGCGCCGCGATCCGCTGTGCAGAGTTGCGTCGCTTGGGCACGCCAGAAACCTATGATTGTGGGTTCGAATCCAGGTTCGCCTCGATTATGTTTCTAGGTTTGTCAGCACCATACCCTTGCTTGTGGGTTTCACCGAAGTGGTAAACGTCTGAGACCTGCATCACTTCGGGCTTTCCTCCCACATTAAGCTGACACGCCATGATATAACTGGAATACTGTTAAAAGCGGCGTTAAACCCAACTCACTCACTCACTCACTCACTCTTGCCTTCAGCGTGGCGAGCGAACGCTTGAACCACTAGGCTACCCACCGCCCCTGGTGACAGGTAGGCTGGGTAACTCTTCATGCTCCTTGTGTCTAGCTGCCACACTGTGATAAATCAAAACTGCTTTCAAAGCAGCAATAAATCCAAATTCTCGCTAAGGCTTAAAAAAATAAAGAATTGGTTCTCAGGCAATATAGTGTGGGAGGGCTTTGGTTAGGTTTTTTTGTTTGCTTTCTCAAACTAGTATGTGACCAAAAAAACAGCTGTGTACCATCAACCTGGGAAAGGACTTCCTACATGAAGAAGCATACAAACTCTTATTGCCCCATGACCATGACACAACATGTGCAGTAAAGCAGTAGCCATGTAAAGGGAAGTAACTGCGTGCTATATTGGATTGCATTGTTTTTAAGTATTAGGATTTTTTAATATTTTTTTAAAAATGGAAATGAAACGACACGTGCGTCGAACTTTATGATGATGCGGGCGGTGCCTGAGAACCAAGACTTTTATTTTTTTTAGCCTAACTGGGTTAGGGAATGACATGGATAGATCATAATTTGTCGGGCTTTAGTGTTCAACCATAAGATTGTAACAAAATACTAATTGTAATTTGGGAAAGTTGGCAGCATGCCCACTCACTCACTCACTGTAAATTATCAAATTAGGAAGTCGTGAAATTATGAATGTCCCTATTGAAGGTTGGGTAGTATACGTATGTGTGGTGTATGTTTACTCGCTAGGCCTCATTCCAAATATGCTGTTTTGATCTCTTAATGTTTTTGGCTTACGCTAATGTATTTTTTTCCTAAATCTATATTTGGGATTACGCTCTAAATTTGCATTCTCAGATCAACAAAGTGGTGCTTTCAAGATTCACTGTGAATCAAACTTTCCTTGATTGCCTATTGGCTTGATCCTAGTCCTCTCTTGGAACCATATTTATTTCCTGTAAACTTGACGGGGAACGCGTGCTGAAACACAGACACATACAATACTGTAGATTGTGACATTTTCAGCTGAATAAAAACGATCAAATGCATGTGCTTTAAATGTAGGAAAATGCTGTTTTACTTAAGTCATATTATGCAAGAAATTATACAAAAGTGTTTTTTTATTGAAGTTTGTATATTTTGTTCCTCATTTAGAAACAAATTCAACAACATTGTTTCTGCTTCATCAAGGATGGCAAGACCTCCTTGCGTGGAGGCATTTATACACATAATGTCTTATGATATGCGATAGGATATTGGAGTACATGCTTTTGAGTTGTGTTGGATTTTAGGATGCATCTTCAAGACTGCAGTTTGATTTGGATGTAGTTGACCGTTGACCATTGACCAGTCTGTATCTGCCTTGCAGGACAATTATTGATGGATCTAAACAGAGGTTGATCAATATGTCTGTTTTGCTAAAACATTTGATTTGTTCGGTGAAAAGAAATGATATTGATTTGTAAACTCGGTGCTCATGAGTGCCTACACAACGCATGTCTGTAAATGTGTCCTTGGACCTCAAATATCTGAGATTGTATCAACTTCAAAAGTTATGGTTGAATCTCATAGAACAGTTATATGTTAGGATTGATCCATCTGTGTCAAGTTATATTCTGTATACGTGAACGGTTGACATTTGACAAACCCTCACCAGTAGCCAGAGTTCAAGTGTTGTATATTTCAAGATGCTTTGTCATTTCATGGTGGTTTATTGTGGTACTTCAAGTCACATGACAGTTTTCGTTTTGTTGTTGAAATATGTAAATACTATTTATACTGTATGAGTTTCTGTTTTGCTTTCGGATTGCTATAAGACTGGAATGTGATAAGAAAAGAAAAAACATTTTGGAGAAATTATGCTGAAATATCTCATGCTGTGTGTTCAAGATTTTCTAGGTCATTCCCTTTGAGGAAATGATTCAGGGTAGATTTATCTCCAGTAACTTATGCTTGTGATAAGAGACAACTAAAATTGGTGGTAAGGGTTTGTCTGCTGATTGTGTGTCATCATGCCTAAATAGCATAGATGTTGATGCAAGCAGCCTCTGGTCACCTGGCCCAGACTCGACTGGGAACAGTGTACTGCGATATGGCTGGAATATCACTGACAACAGCGTCAAGAAACAATCGCTCGCTCAAATAATCACACGACAAAACCCTTTTCATTATCATAAGAAATCTCTGGCAAATGAGTCCTTTGTACGATTCCGACTGTCATGAGCATGTGTTTGTGAAGCACTATCAAATAGTGGAGACACCAGGTGTTCACCTGAACAAACACAGGTTTCACTGAAAGATGTGCATCCCTTGGCCTTTCTTCCAGTATCAAACTGATATGCCAGAAAAATGTTTGATGTGGCAATAAATCAGCTCATTCACTCTATTCTTTACCAGTAATGTATGCCAGAATCTTATCATGTATATATGGTGTGTATGTATGTATAGCCAGAACTGTGGAGTGTTGATGTGGTTGGATGGATGAGAGCGTGCAGGGTCCAGGAGTGTGCATGGTCCAGGAGTGTGCATGGTCCAGGAGCGTGCATGGTCCAGGAGTGTGCGTGGTCCAGGAGTGTGCAGTGTCCAGGAGCGTGCATGGTCCAGGAGTGTACATGGTCCAGGAGTGTGCATGGTCCAGGAGTGTGCATGGTCCAGGAGTGTGCATGGTCCAGGAGTGTGCATGGTCCAGGAGTGTGCATGGTCCAGGAGTGTGCATGGTCCAGGAGTGTGCATGGTCCAGGAGTGTGCATGGTCCAGGAGTGTACATGGTCCAGGAGTGTGCATGGTCCAGGAGTGTGCGTGGTCCAGGAGTGTGCATGGTCCAGGAGTGTGCATGGTCCAGGAGTGTGCATGGACCGAGACTGTGCAGTGTCCAGGAGTGTGCATGGTCCAGGAGTGTGCATGGACCGAGACTGTGCAGTGTCCAGGAGTGTGCATGGTCCAGGAGTGTGCATGGACCGAGACTGTGCAGTGTCCAGGAGTGTGCATGGTCCAGGAGTGTACATGGTCCAGGAGTGTGCAGGGCGCAGGAGTGTGCGTGGTCCAGGAGTGTGCAGGGCGCAGGAGTGTGCGTGGTCCAGGAGTGTGCAGGGCGCAGGAGTGTACATGGTCCAGGAGTGTGCAGGGCGCAGGAGTGTGCGTGGTCCAGGAGCGTGCAGGGCGCAGGAGTGTACATGGTCCAGGAGTGTGCGTGGTCCAGGAGCGTGCAGGGCGCAGGAGTGTGCATGGTCCAGGAGTGTACATGGTCCAGGAGTGTGCGTGGTCCAGGAGCGTGCAGGGCGCAGGAGTGTGCATGGTCCAGGAGTGTGCATGGACCGAGACTGTGCAGTGTCCAGGAGTGTGCATGGTCCAGGAGTGTGCATGGTCCAGGAGTGTGCATGGTCCAGGAGTGTGCGTGGTCCAGGAGCGTGCAGGGCGCAGGAGTGTGCATGGTCCAGGAGTGTACATGGTCCAGGAGTGTGCGTGGTCCAGGAGCGTGCAGGGCGCAGGAGTGTGCATGGTCCAGGAGTGTGCATGGACCGAGACTGTGCAGTGTCCAGGAGTGTGCATGGTCCAGGAGTGTGCATGGTCCAGGAGTGTGCGTGGTCCAGGAGCGTGCAGGGCGCAGGAGTGTGCATGGTCCAGGAGTGTACATGGTCCAGGAGTGTGCGTGGTCCAGGAGCGTGCAGGGCGCAGGAGTGTGCATGGTCCAGGAGTGTGCATGGACCGAGACTGTGCAGTGTCCAGGAGTGTGCATGGTCCAGGAGTGTGCATGGTCCAGGAGTGTGCGTGGTCCAGGAGCGTGCAGGGCGCAGGAGTGTACATGGTCCAGGAGTGTGCATGGACCGGGACTGTGCAGTGTCCAGGAGTGTGCATGGTCCAGGAGTGTGCGTGGTCCAGGAGCGTGCAGGGCGCAGGAGTGTGCATGGTCCAGGAGTGTGCGTGGTCCAGGAGCGTGCATGGTCCAGGAGTGTGCATGGTCCAGGAGTGTGCGTGGTCCAGGAGCGTGCAGGGCGCAGGAGTGTGCATGGTCCAGGAGTGTACATGGTCCAGGAGTGTGCATGGTCCAGGAGCGTGCAGGGCGCAGGAGTGTGCGTGGTCCAGGAGCGTGCAGGGCGCAGTAGTGTGCAGGGCGCAGGAGTGTACATGGTCCAGGAGCGTGCATGGTCCAGGAGTGTGCAGGGCGCAGGAGTGTGCATGGTCCAGGAATGTGCAGGGCGCAGTAGTGTACATGGTCCAGGAGTGTGCGTGGTCCAGGAGCGTGCAGGGCGCAGTAGTGTACATGGTCCAGGAGCGTGCAGGGCGCAGGAGTGTGCATGGTCCAGGAGCGTGCAGGGCGCAGGAGTGTACATGGTCCAGGAGCGTGCATGGTCCAGGAGTGTGCATGGTCCAGGAGTGTGCATGGTCCAGGAATGTGCAGGGCGCAGTAGTGTACATGGTCCAGGAGTGTGCGTGGTCCAGGAGCGTGCAGGGCGCAGGAGTGTACATGGTCCAGGAGTGTGCATGGTCCAGGAGTGTACATGGTCCAGGAGTGTGCATGGTCCAGTAGTGTACATGGTCCAGGAGTGTGCGTGGTCCAGGAGCGTGCAGGGCGCAGGAGTGTACATGGTCCAGGAGCGTGCAGGGCGCAGGAGTGTACATGGTCCAGGAGTGTGCATGGTCCAGTAGTGTACAT